CAGGACAAAAGGGAAGAGAAAAAACCCTAAGTCTCACAAATATTCCTTCCTCCTCCTCCCAGCAGGATAGCATTGACAACTAGGAATGAGGATGTCTACCCTGCATCATTTGAATTGCCTCAATTGTGGTTTAGATACTCTACACGGTTAATAACATACAACAAAATATTAGTTCACATTGTGTAAGGACAGCTGGAAGAACATGAGCTCTCAGCTCTATCCAGCACCCTTACCTCGAAATAAGCTACGCAATTTGCACAGCTTATTTTGAGGTAATTTTGAAATAAAGTACTATGCCAAGATATTCCTTAACCCTTGTTCAATGAAGTTTTCAGGGATGTCAGAATAGTGAGATATAATGGGCTTGCTCTTAAGATGTGGAATAGCTATTTTGGGATACCAGAGGTATCCTGAAATAGTTCCATGGTGTAGATGTAGCCACACATACTGCTGTAGCCTCACCAACCTATTCTTTTTAAAATGGCCTTGATTACAATTGCACATATAGTACTGAAAGGACGTGTCCTTGATTAGTCCCCCTGCAAAGTCCAGAAAGGAGATAATATTGTGACACTAGCATGTATCCTTGCTCAGAATGCTGTAACCGATTAAATATATTTATGGCAATTTTTAAAATTTCCATCACAGTAAAGAGAAACTGCTATTCAATCCAGTGAAATGTTTTCTCCAAGTCAAAAGATGCTATTACTACAGGACTGGCATCATTTTTCATCTTAAAGAGGATATTAAATAAGCACAGCAAATTCGTGCAGGTGAGCCTACCATACTAAACATAAAATAAAACCACACGTTCAGGATGAATTATTTTACTGCTTGTGCTTTGAGTCAATTGGCCAATAACGTTGGCAATTTGTTAATACCTACATTTAGGAACAAAATAGATCTATATGACCCACATTCCTATACACATTGGTCTAGAGCTACAATCAGCACTATGTGGTCTGGAAAGTATCGGTCGATCAGCACCTGGTTTGCATAATTTAGTGATACCAAGGCATGAAAATAGCAAACATTAGCTTGCAAAAAAGATGTTCCCTTTTTGAACTAGGAGGACTAGACTTGCCTAAAGGCTTGCAAGATTTATGAACAGCTCCATGGCAGTCGACTGGAACAGGGGAAGGCCAGCCCACATGTTTAAAAAAAATAGAGTAATCTGCTCTGTCTAAAATTACAAGTGGGTCCAAGACACATTTTTAATCCAAATCTGAATTTCCTTAAAGTCAGTAGGAGGGGTGGGAGCTCAGTATCTTTGAAAATTAAATCACTTGTATTTAGGTGCCTAAATATGGATTTAGGGACAGAAATTTAGGGACCCAGTTTTGACTATTTAATCTTCATCTTGTGGGTCTCTGCGCCCCTGGATTCCAAGCAAGAGTTGCAGAGCACCAAGTCATCTCCCATTAAACTATATTTTAAAGCTTGTCA